TTTTGCTCTGAAATTAAGAAAATAATATGGCTTTAATAGTTTAGGATCATGTTGGGCTGTTGCCAGCACTTCAACTATGTCAGATCGATTATGTATAGAGACTAAAGGAAGGAAGGCCGTAAGTGTAAAACTCACTAACTCCGAAATTATAGAACACATTGCTCAGTAAATCGTGTAAAATGATGCTCTGATGAAAACTTCTGGGTAATCTATATATCATCCAAAGCTATGACATATGGCTGATGTACAGTTTGGAAATTACAGTAGTGTTCCACGCGATCATTCACAAAATCATATAACTTTCTATTTTTTATCTTAACTACAAAATACATTTGCACAGTCTTCATATGAGCCACAGTATAAAGCAGCTTCAGGGAAAACCGATCAAAAATATGGTTCTGTGTCTGGAACCTGAGACTCCCTAGCATTGTCGTAAACGCTGTCTAACAGAAAAATAACATGGATTCAATGATTTTGCAAATGTTAGGGAAAGTTTGACATTAGCGTTTCAGTGTGCACTTACGGTAAGCAAAATGTAATCATTCTCTACGCAAAAACTCCCTTTTTTATTGAAGCAGTTAAGTTCTGTCGTTTCTGACAAAATGCCTTGTGGAATGTTCTAGTATTTGAACAAACTGTTTTCTAATATAAAGTTAAAGACTTTTAAGGTGTACGTCTCAGATTCTGACTTACTTTCATGCTGTGGAGCGTTCTGTGGCTTTGGGTAAGGTTTATTAGATTTTTCTTTCCAGAAACTTTGATTGTGTTACTGGACTTTCCTCCATTTGCTTCAACTTAAGATGCAGAGGAGGTTCCAAAACTAAAGGTTGGCTCTATTTTAACAGCACCGGTCTTTGCACTGGCGGAGCATACGGTGACAAGGTTTGTTACTCAACCACACACTTTCTACAAATTATTCAAATTTTTTTGAGACTTGCTGCAAGCCATATGTATTTTATCCCTGTAAAAAATACGAGAATCAACCCTACTATGGGCCATGTCCGGAGAATGAACGTTGGGAAACGCCACTTTGCCGCAAAGCCTGTCAATTCAAATATCGCAAAAATTACGAAGACGACAAGATTTTTGGTATGTTCTTTTTAGCTATGTAACTGTGAATAAAAACTTAAATCTGAAGCGAACTTGGGAGAACCGTTCTAATTTCCTTTATCATGTAAACAAATCATTTTGGCATATCGATCATTTTGGTTCCGCCAAGAACAGCTTTATTTTATGGGAAG